CGTCATTATCATCATCATCATCGTCATCATCATCATCATCATCATCAGTAACTGCTGTATTCCGTAGGGGGAGAGGCTGGTCAATGTTAGGTGACAGAGGATGGAGGGAGCAGGAGAGATCCACGATCAATCCCTTCCCCTGGCCCGATGAGACTCATCTAGGATTGAGCAAGTTAATAATGATCCCCAATTAGGCTGTTAGCAGGCAGGGACACAAAAACACACAAATCTACACACACTCAGTACATGGCTAAAGTGCAGAAACTGTCCTACAGACAGAATGCTAATTCCCTTTTAGATAAGTGACATGCAGTGTGACATTTGCACTATGTTTGACGGACAGAGACTTTTTGTATGACTCATACACCAGCTGGCTATTTGTCTGCAAACACACACGTGTATATGGACACATACAAGGACAGGCACACACACAACAGATGACACAGGGGCAGAGATGTAAGAGCCAGTCCCCAGCTGCTGTGGGTCTCCCTCCATCTGGAGCATAGGCTAGAATCCCCCTATAACCACCCCTCCATCATCTCCATCCCTGGTCACTTACACCCTCCCACTGGGCCCCCTCTACATTCTCCCTCAGTGTCACCAAAACCTGTCAGTGAAAGGCTTGTTATGCTAATCTAGTCTTTGGACCACTGACGCTCTCTAGTGCTGGTTAGCTATCAACATGACAGACTGCGACAGCAACCACTGCAACCCTGCACATCCAAACTGATTACTTAACTCAGTGTCAGAGAATGACTACTAACCTTCACTAAACTGCCCTCAGGCTCCCAGACTCATCCTCTCAATGATCCCCGTTCTCAGAGTGGATTATCAGGGCCAGTGTTCTCCGGCTCCTTCCTCTGACCAGACAGACTGACCAGGGGCATTTTTCACAATAACCTGCCAGATTAAAACTAAGGTGAAAGGCAAGTAAGATGTATCCAGAATCACTCTGTATCTGTTGCTTTTTATAATCCCAAATGTTTTCAGCAGTTTTCAACCATAAACCCCTCTCAGACATGAACTCAAATGTGAAAGGCAAATTTGTCTGGACAAAAATGTCTGGACCCAATTTTCTGGACATTTTTCTGAGTTCACTTCTGAAAAAGACAATTGCCTCATATCTTCTTTGCACAAATAAAAATGTAAAACTGCTTTATTCAGTGTTTTTGTTAACCAGATTTAATCACAGGATCCATTTGCTTTGCAGGGCAGGACACATCTAAAAGTATTTCGGCTCCTGGTAAAAACTTCCTAAATTTCTGCATCATATGAGAAACAAGCTTCGCCAACGTTAGTGAATCCTAGACTCACAGTCCCTGGAAAATATGTGAAAATTAAAAAAAAAGAAGCCCATGTCACAATGTTAAATAAAGTGAAGAAAATTTCCTGTATCCGCCCACTGATCTGCAAGTTTTATGGTACTCCATCCAGTAGTCTTTGAGTAATCCTGCATTAAATCAAACAAACTCACAAAAAAAACTTGGTGAAAACATATCCTCCTTAGTGGACGTAATTATTTGGATTTACCTTTGTTCCAACTATTTGTTGGAACCAGAGTGAGATAAAATCAGTGTTGATCTTTGCGGAAGAAGCTCCAGGCCCTGAATGCCTGGAGGGAGAGCTACAGCCAAGACCAGTCGGAAGAGGAATGGATTGGCAGCGCTGATTGACGAACCAACCGGTGCCAGGCTTGGCTCAAACAAGCCGCTGCAGGCTGGAGGATGACGTTCAAACTGTCAGCAAATGACACACTGCAATACTCAGGCTTCAGTGATGTGGTATGGATATGATTAGAGTGGTGTTGAGACTCAGCCTAAATGGGTAGTTAGCTGAGGATTATAAGGCCTCGCAAACAGGCAACATTACCCCGAGCGCACCGAAGCTCCTTCTCTCTTACGATTGCACCAATTGCTGACTTTCCCTGTGCTGGGAAAAACACAATGAAAGGTTTTTTAGAGCCTTTTTAAAGCCACCGTCCGTTAGCAAAGTGGCAGCCCACCATGGGCACAAAGACACAAATGCAAGCATTCTGGGTAATTACTGCTAACGACCCCGTCGCTTGTTAGCCAGACCTCCTATTTTTGCCATCGCTGTGCCAACACCCGAGCCTGTGACATCAGAGCTTGTTTTGTTGTGGGTCAACTTTGCATGTGGACACGTTTAATGACACCAGACAGTGGTACAAGTGTGTGTGTAAGCATATGTGGCATGCCTGAAAAGCCAATGTCTACGTTAACATAACTGCGTCTATTTGGGAGAGTGTTTGTATGAGGCCAAGACAATGGTCAAAGTGCAAAAAGGAAAGCCGATGAGAAGAAAGTGACATTTTTTTGATGACTCTTTAAGAAGGGTTAAGACTCTTCAATTCAGATGCCACAGTTTGCTACCAAACCTCTAGTGACGCACACAAAGCACAAATACACAATTCTGTGTAAACTACACCACCTCACCTACCACACATGAAAAGATTTATTTTATATCAAAAGAAAAATCTAAATTAAAAATAAAAAAGACACAGACGCCACAAAGAGAGAAGGCTGCATCTGCAAAAGTTTAAGACCACAGGAGATCACACCAAGTCTGTGCTCAGTGTGTCTGTGACTTTTCACTCAATCTGCTTCAAACCAAACTTATTTGGCTGAAGTAACTTAAATGTCA